ACCCAACCCCCCCCCCCCCCCGCCCTTCGGCAAGGAGAGAAACAATCAGATCCCAAGAGGCGCTCGAAATACACACTTTGGTGTCCACTAACCGGACAGTGAAGAGACTGCCAAATTTTCCTCGCCCCTCCCAAAGTCAGGCAAAAGCATGTATCGATCCTTTCCCTGGCTGAATGGCTTATGATCGGCGGAGGGAGGCTTTTGGCGCTGCAGTTCTTGAGCAGCTTAAGCCAAATCGGCTTTCCTCCTCCTCCCCTCTGTCTGTTGTGGATGCACCAGCCTCGGATGGAATTCAGCCCCTCTCTGAGGGAGTGCGCCCCTGTGAGCCTGTGTTCGGGGAGAGTCTGATGCACCATTGCAAGCTTCACTGCTGTGAGGTATCCACCGATTGTGGCAGGGGGGTACCCAGGTCTTTTGAGCTCGGTAGCTTTAGATTTCTCAGCCGATGCTTCTCCATCGATTCACTCCATCCTCCCTCCCCCAGTTAGTTCCGCGCCCGCCCCCAGTCCCGACCTGCCCCCCCCGCCCCTCCAATCTCAAACCCAAACTTTCTCCACCGAGTCAAGATCCTGGGTGCAGCAGCAGCTGGAACTGTGGTAGCGGGACACGGGCAGGTTCTTGTAGACCGCTTTGCTGTAGGGGATGAGGCAGTAGCCGAGCTGTAGGCGGCGTGCCACCCGGCAGTAGGCGGCCAGTGCCAGGACCAGGAGGGGCACGAGGAGGGCGAATCCCACGACAAGGAGAGCGACGGAGCCGGAGTCATGCAAGTGGGCCGTGCAGTACTCGGCCTGGACGTTCAAGAACTGCAGAGAGAGGGGAGAGCACAGTTCAGTGTGTCAGCTGGTTCTCAAAATGCAAGCGGCACGAGTGGCGTCTGTGTGCCAGTGCGCTTCCTCACGTTCGCCAGCAGCAGCGGGCTCTGCATGCCCAGTTACGAGCAGAGTTCCCTCTCAGCTGAGTTGGTGTGAGCCAGCTCACAGTTTTTTTAGCCTCTGGCTCACGCATTTTTGTCTTAACTCAGGAAGAAAAGAAGAAGAGAAGAGATTGGATTTATACCCTGCCCTTCACTACCCAAACTCCTTTCCCTTCCCCTCCCAACAGATACCCTGTGAGGTAGGTGGGGCCGAGAGAGCTCTGGCAGAAACGGCTCTTTTTCAAGGACAGCTCTTATCGGAACTATGGCTTGCCCAAGGTCATCCAGCCAGCTGCAAGTGGAGGAGTGGGGAATCAAACCCGGCTCTCCCAGATTAGAGTCCGCGCACTTCACCACGACACCAGACTGGCTCCAGAGCAAACTAATGTATTCAGTAGCCAAATCGCCCGCTCACGACTTTAATGCCAGTCGCTCACCAAGTAGAATTTTTTTTGCTCATGAGACTCCACAGCTTAGAGGGAGCATTGGTTATGAGACCCTGACCAGGGGATGGGGGAGGGTTGGCAAGAGGTATACTGAAAGGTGCCCAAATGAAGAAGTCTTCCTCAGCCCTCTCTTGACAATGGCCAGCCCTCTCCCCAAAATTAAGAAGAAGAGATTAGATTTATACTCCACTCTTCACTACCTGAAGGAGTCTCAGAGCGACTCACAAACTCCTTTCCCTTCCCCTCCCCACAACAGGCACCCTGTGAGCAATGCTCCCTCTAAGCTGTGGAGTCTTGTGAGCAAAAATTCTACCTTGTGAGCTCCTGACATTAAAGTTGTGTGAGAGTGGTTTGGTTACTGCATAAATTAGTTTGCTCTGGAGCCACATCCTTCCTGAGCTAAGACAAAAATGTGTGAGCCGGAGGCAAAAAAACCCCGTGAGCTAGCTCACGCTAACTCAGCTTAGAGGGAGCACTGCCTTGTGAGGTCAGTGGGGCTGAGAGAGCTCTTTTGAGAACTGCTCGTGAGAGAACAGCTCTGAGAGAACTTGTGACTGACCCAAGGTCACACCAGCAGCTGCAAGTGGAGGAGTGGGGAATCAAACCCTGTTCTCCTAGATCAGAGTCCGTGCCCTTAACCACTACACCAAGCTGCCTCTCCCTTCCACCTGTGGGTGGGCTCACACAGTCTTGTTACCTGGGTTGCCCACCTCTGGCTTGGGAAACTGAGGACTGGTGTGGTGTTAAGCGTCGGACTTGAATCTGGGAGACCCAGGTTCGAATCCCCACTCTGACATGGAAGCTCGCTGGGTGACCTTGGGCCTGTCACACAGTCTCAGCCCAACCTACCTTACAGGGTTGTTGTGAGGATAAAATGAAGGAGGAGGAGAGCAGGAGGATGCAAGCTCCTTTGGGTCACTGTTGAGGCAGGGAAGAAACGAAGGAAATAATGAATTAAATTCCTGGACCTTTGGGGTGAGTATTCAGCCGTGAGGTTGTGCCCTCTGGAGATGCCATTTCCTCCGGGGAAACTGATTCCTGTAGTCTGGGGACGGGGTGCAGTTCCAGGATAACTCCAGGTCCCACCTAGGGAGACTGGCAACCCATGGCGTCCCCTCCTTGGCCACACTGCCTCATAAAAGAGGGCTGCAGCATTTCTACTAAAGGGGATGAGGGCCGAGAAACCATTTCCCACTCCAGATGTGCGGGAGCCCTCGCCATGATTTTATCACCATTAATAAGAGGAGACCCCTCCCCTTCAGGGTTGCCAGGACATAAGGTTCCTCTTGCTCAAAAGCCAGTCGAATCCGACTCTAGGGGGCAGTGCTCGTCTCCATTTCCAAACCGAAGAGCCAGCGCTGTCCTAAGACTTCTCCGTGGTCAAGTGGCCGGCATGACTAGACACCGAGGCGCACGGAACGCTCTTACCTCCCCACCGGAGCGGACCCTATTTATCTACTTGCAATGTCTTGCTTTCGAACTGCTAGGTCGGCAGGAGCTGGGGCCAGAGACGGGACCTCACTCCGTCACGCGACACACTCGGGTCTCGAACTGCTGAATGACCGACCTTCCGGTCTGCAGTCCAGCGTCTTAACCACTGAGCCACTGTTGTCTAAATATTGATATCAAATATTATCAAAAATATATTTCACCCAAACGATACATAGAGAAAAATATGTTTCACCCAAACAATACATCGAGTGCTGGTTTACATTCAGATGGCACCTTGCCAGTATCACAGTCACTAGTCCCAGGGGCCTCTAGTAATTTACCCGTTTCGAATGAATCTTTTTCAAGGACCGTGATGTATACATAAAGGACATAAGACGGCAAACATAATAACCCATCTAAGAATTTGAGAGATATGCTGCCTTAGATAGGTTGTTATATGTTTGCCACAAGGGTTCTGATGGGACCCTCGACGATGCTGCTATCTTAAGAGCTTTTGTGCTCACAAAGAAAAATTATCGCGCCCTATGTCCTTCATATGATATTTGATACCAATATTTAGACAACAGTATTGAGAAATAGAAAAAGAAAAAGCATAAAATTGTTCTATAAAATTGTTCACGTGGTTAAGACGCTGAACTGCAGGGTGTGGAAGGTCGGTCGTTCGGCAGTTCGAGACCCGAGTGTGCCGCATGACGGAGTGAGCTCCCGTCTCTAGTCCCAGCTCCTGCCAACCTAGCAGTCCAAAAGCAAGAAATTGCAAGTAGATAAATAGGGACCACTTCGGTGGGAAGGGAACAGCGTTCCGTGCGCCTTGGCGTCTAGTCATGCCGGCCACATGACCACGGAAACGTCTTTGGACAGCGCTGGCTCTTCGGCTTTGAAACGGAGATGAGCACCGCAACCCTAGAGTCGGACTCGACTGGCTTTCGAGCAAGGGAACCTTTACCTTTAAACATATATTTATTGTACACAGCGATATCTATTTTTGTACGTCTTCCTAACACTGCGACCTTCAGTTTTTGTACTGGCCTCCAGGAATGACAACCGATCCCAGACTACAGAGATTAGCCCCCTGAAGAAAATGGCTGCTTCGGGGGACAAACTCTATGGCATATCACAGGTTTTAGGTGAAGCCCCCCCCCAATCCCCCTCTTCGCAGGCACTACCTCCAAATCTCCAGGAATGTCCCAGGTTGAAGTTGGCAAGCCCTCATCCCCTTCCGCCCACTTCCCAACCCTCCTGCCCCCACGTCTTAAGAATGGCCAGCATTCTCCAAGCCCCTCCCCCCAAGGGTAGGTAGGGGCCCAGGCTGAGGTCTGGCCGCTTCCAGCAAGAACAGTTCCCACCCCAGGAGGACAGAGATCTCTGCTGGAAAGGGGGGGGCAGGGCGGGCCATCCTTTCTGGAATGCACCCTGCAGCTGGTCCGCCCCGCCAGGTTATCAAAGCCCCTGGCGCTTGGCATCTGGTTTGTGTCACTGCACATGGGGAGGGGAGGAGGAGATTGTGGAGTCAGATTCCAGAGTTTCGTGCCCAGCAGCTGCCCTTCCAAGAATTCCCATCTGCAGCATTCGTTTTCCAGTCGTGCGTTTTACAGGCTGGACTGGGATGCCACACCTAGGCGGTTGCGCTTTTTCTTCCCCTGCCACCACCATGTTTACAACCTGCCACGGTGTACTCTGCTCTCATAGGCTTGCTGGAGATTTAGGAGCAGAACCAAGGGAGGAAGGAATTTGGAGAGGCTAATGCTACAGAGCCCACCCTCCAAAGCAGCCATTTGCCCCAGGGGAACTGATCAGAGGTGGCCTGCCATTGCCTGCAAAAATCCTGGACTTCCTTGGTGGTCTCTCATCCTTGGTGAGGTTGGGCTAAGCCTGGGCCATCTAGGTCAGGGGGGGATGCTGATGATCTGGCGCAGTCAGATATCTGACTGGTAGATGGTGTTCTGCAATTCGAAATCTAGCCAAGTTCTTGGGAACTGCAGAGGCATTTCCGCAGGATTCTTGCTATTCCGAGCAACGCTGTCTTCTGGAGCTGAAGCTGCGCTGGTGTTGTTTGCTCGGTGCCCAGAATGTCCAGGTGTTTCTTGAGACTTCTAGGCAGGCACTGCTCCAGTGACAACCGGCACAATGGTAACCTTCTTCTCCCAGAAGTGCTCTAACTCTGTTTATAGGTCTTAGTATTTGCTGGTCTTCTCCTGTTCTTTCTTGTCTGTTCTGCTGTCTCCCTGGGGTTGTGATGTCAGTCATCCAGACCCTATTTCTAATTTTTCCTACAATGGTGATATCAGGTATGTTATACTCCCAAGTGTTTATCTGTTTGCAGTCAGAAGTCCCAAAGAATCTTTCTCCACAATCATGTCTGGTTTGTGCTCCCGTGAATATCTGGTTGACAGGAAGCCATATTTCTAGCAAAGATTCCAGTGCAATATAGCTGCAACTCTATCCTAACGTTCTTTAGAGTCAGTTTGAGCAATTTTATTGCAAGCACTGCCCATGGTCGACTGTTGTATCCTTTGTCTTGCAAAGTCGACATCTGTGGTTATCCCTGGACTTCTGAATCTTGGCTTTCATACTGTTTGTTTCAATTGCTTGGTCTTGTGCAGCTAGAATGAGTCCTTCCGTTTGTTCAAGTTCCCCTTTTTGGAGCCACTTCCAGTTGTTTTCAATATCCACTTTATTTTCTATATTATTATTATTAGTATAGTTCACCTTTCTCTCAGGGACCCAAGACAGATTACAAGTATGATTTTAAAAAAATTAAATCCGTGGGATTTGTATATCATGGCTAAACTCTCGGACAATCTTACGCGTTTTGAATGTTCCCTCTAAGCTGTGGAGTCCTGTGAGCAAAAATTCTACTTTGTGAGCTACTGGCATTAAAGTTGTGAGCAGATGATTTGGCTACAGCATAATGCACTGGAGCCATCCTTCCTGAGCTAAGACAAAAATGTGTGAGCTGGAGGCTAAAAAACTGTGAGCTAGCTCACAGTAACTCAGCTTAGAGGGAACACTGGTTTTGATAAGATTCCTGCCCCTACTACTTTTGTTTCAACGTGGTTTCCTATTTTCGAATACCTCTCCAACCAGCAAGGTATACCTAAAGTAATGGATGACTTGTGGTTATGGTAATGCTTATTAATGTAATTCAAATGTCCACCAATGCTCGCTTATATGTATGTTAACTTTACGTTCTGTCTATGGAAGGTACCATCTAACTCTTGCTTTTGTATCACAATGATTTTCACTTATTGTCACTACAATGCACTGCATCTGAAGTATTTGCTACTCTATGTTGCACTCTTTCTGCGAGTTTTTTATGCATGTACTGTTAATGTGTTTTTTTTACTAAAAAATTCAATAAAATTTATTGCACAAAAAAAAATTAAATTAGTACGCAGATGGCAAGACTCGACCTTTGACTCTAACAGCAATGAGCTTGTGACCGGGGTTCCCGCTAAGCTGAGTTAGGGTGAGCTAGCTCAATGTTTTTTAGCCTCTAGCTCACAGATTTTTATCTTAGCTCAGGAAGCATGGCTCCAGAGCAATCTAATTTATGCAGTAGCCAAATCATTCGCTCACAATTTTAATGCCAGTAGCTCACAAAGTAGAATGTTTGCTCACAAGACTCCACAGCTTCGAGGGAACATTGCTTGTGACCAAACAGATTTGCCTGCTGTGACCTCCCCATCAAGGGGATGCGGATGTGACAGGCACGGAGACCTGCTTAAGCTCGGAGCATTCCACAACGGCCTCCCACCCACACACCTCCTGCCCCAAATCCCCTTTAGCCAAGACCACCCTAGAGGGACCACAGCTGCCAGGACAACTCTAAGAGGAAAATTGGGGGGGGGGAGAGAAAGCCTAAAAATCCAGGGCTTAGCAGAATTTTTGCCTGTTGATCTTTTGGGAGAGGTGGGAGGGGGGCAAAAGGAAGCATTCCTGAAATGTCGAAGAAATGGGCACCGGGCTTATTCAACAAGCAAACCAACCAGGCTGGCTTGAAAGAGATTAAAACATTAAAAGTATCACCTTACTGAAGGTGTCCTCATTACAAGAAGGGCCGTGGGGCACACAGGCCTGGAACGACCGGCACCTTGAGCACACGCAGAGTGCCTAGCCCCGCTTCCAAAGGTCCCTATGTGATCTTCTCCCTCCGTTTTGGGTCCGTGGGAACAATTTGCCTGGTTCACAGTGCTGGGGGAAAAGAAAACTGCCCGGGATCATCCAAGACGGATGCAGCAAAGAGCCCTGGATTCAAATCTTTTCCTCCGCCACAGACTCACTGGCTGGCCGGGGGCAACTACCTCACCCTCGGCCCATCTGTAAAACGGGGCCCTGAAAAAGGGCCCTGAAGATTGGGAATTGTGAGCGTTTTGTTCAGGACGGGGAGGTATTGCCTGCTAGAGTTGCCAACTTCCAGATGGGGCCTGGAGATCTCCCAGAATCAATTACTGGTTTTCCAGAGGAGAGAGATCAGTTCCCCTGGCTGCACTGGAGGGTGGGGTCTACGGCACTCTGCCCCACGGAGGTCCCCATCCACCCCCCATACGCTCCACCCTCAGATCTCCAGGAATTTCCCAACATGGAGTTGGCAACCAGGGGAAGCAGCTGTTTGCTCAGAACGGGAGGAGGCTACAGAACGCAGAGGAAGGACTGGGATGTCTGTGGAGATCTGGAGGAGGGAGAACCGGCAGTTTTAAAAATCCTTATCTCTTGTCCAGCAGAGAAGCTTGACTATGCTTCAGCTGGCGTTGCAGCGGAGGGTGGGTGGGGGGTGGACAGAGGAGAATTAGCCAAGTTGGGGGGGCCAGTGTGTCGCACCCCCTCCCGTCCCTGGGCCTATTTTTTACAAACAAAGCAGCTGAATGTCAAAACAGACCAACCCGGGCAATTCCACCAACACTCCTACACTTAAAATATTTTAAAAAGAACTACAGGGGGGGAGGGTTGGGGGGGGAAACTCAAAGTGGCTGTAGATTTCCCCTCTACCTTGCAAGCCTTTCTCCCAAGCCTGGGGGTCTGGAATCTCGGCTGCAGTTTTTCAGTGGGGTTAGAAAGACGCTTCGGACGTGCTCAGAGACACCATTGCGTCCTTCGGCATCAGTCCGCCACGTCTGAAAGAACACGACCCACTGCTCGGCTCGACCGAGCGGGAAGCATGGTTTTGAGGCAGCATGAAACGGGATCCAAACCCCCACATCTGTAGCATGAAATGAGGTCTGCCCAAGGAACCCAAACCTTTGCACTTATTTTTTTTTATTTTAAAATGAGATTTATACCCCACCTCCCTGCCGAAGCAGGCTCAGGGCAGGGTACACATCTAATAAATAAATATAGTTCCAGCAGGCCACCCTCCCTACATACACCCACTCCCCAAGAGCATTTCTGCCAGCGCGCCTCCAAGACCGACCGGCACCCCACTGCTGTCTTCCTGAGCCTGATTCTCCCCCCCCCTTTCTGGCAGGGCTCGTGACCCCCGCCACCCAAGACTTGTTTTGCAGCCCCCAGCAAATTGGGAAGGGGGGACACACAGAGAGGAGGTGTGTGAAGCAATGCTCCCTCTAAGCTGTGGAGTCCTGTGAGCAAAAATTCTACTTTGTGAGCTCCTGGCATTAAAGTTGTGAGCGAGCGACTTGGCTGCTGCGTAAATGAGTTTGCTCTGGAGCCCCATCCTTCCTGAGCTAACGCAAACATCTGTGAGCCGGAGGCTAAAAATCTGTGAACCAGCTCACACTCACTCAGCTTAGAGGGAACAGTGGTGACCAATGTTCCCTCTAAGCCGTGGAGTTTTATGAGCAAAAATTCTACCTTGTGAGCTCCTGGCATTGAAGTGGTGAGCGGGCAGTTTGGCTGCTGCATAGATCAGCCTGCTCTGGAGCCCTCCTTCCCGAGCCAAGACAGAAATCTGTGAGCTAGCCCACACCAACTCAGCTTAGAGGGAGCCCTGGTGTGCAGCGGTGGTGCTTACCTTGGAGTGGCACAGGAACCCGAACCCCAGCAGGACCCCTGCGGGGAACAAGATGACCCCGAAGATGAGCCCCACCAGGAGGAGGTTGAGGAGGCCCACCAGCAAGTTCTGGATCGTGACCAGCACCGCGCAGGCCCAGCAGTCCAGCGAGCCCCGCAGCTCGAGGGCCCCTTCCCCCGCGTAGGGCGGGGGCGGCAGGGGAGAGCCCTCCGGGCCACTCTCCGGATCCGGCGACCCCGACCTGGCCCTCTGGCAGCGGCTGTCCAAGCCCATCCTGGCGTCCGTCGGCAGGCGCTGCGGGACAGTCCCAGCCGGTCTTCTTCCCCAAACACTCCCCGTTCCCTTCCTGGCAAAGCTCTGGCTGGGCTCCTGAGTTTGCAGCATCCTTTACGCCCTCCCAGGCATCTCCACCCCCCTGCTGCTGGGCCAGCCTCCGACTCTCCTGGATAATCTAGGAATGCCACACACACACACAGAGCATGCACCAAACACAACCAAACCACCCCAATGGTCCTGACCTCATCCAAGGGATGCAGGTCCCCAAAGCAAGGAGGGAGGGAGGGAGGGAGGGAGGGAGGGAGGAAGGGAGGAAGGGTTTCCCATGTGCTCAAATTCCAAAGATGCCTCTCTTTTAGAGTCATCCACATCACAGCATTGGCCCGCTAGGTCCTGACAAGAGGGGGAAGCAGCCTCACACAGCCGGGGAAGGCAGAGGGTGAAGGGTTGCCAACTCCGAGTTGGGAAACACCTGGAGATTTGGGAGCGGGGCCTCAGCCGGGTGCAAAGCCATAGAGGCCACCCTCCAAAGCAGCCGTTTTCTCCAGGGGGAAACAGATCTCTGTCACCTGGAAATCCGCTGTACTTCCAGGGGATCTCTAGGCCCCAATTTGGAGGTTAAAACCAAAAAAGAAGGGGGAACCAGCGTACATTAAATGGTAAAAGGTAAAGGTAAAGGTTCCCTTGCTCGAAAGCCAGTCGAGTCTGACTCTAGGGTTGCGGTGCTCATCTCCGTTTCAAAACCGAAGAGCCAGCGCTGTCCGAGGACGTTTCCGTGGTCATGTGGCCGGCATGACTAAACACCAAGGCGCACGGAACTCTGTTACCCTCCCACTGAAGTGGTACCTATCTATCTACTTGCAATTTCTTGCTTTCGAACTGCTAGGTTGGTAGGAGCTGGAACTAGAGACGGGAGCTCACTCCGCCCTGCGGCATACTTGGGTCTCGAACTGCTGAACTACCGACCTTCCACAGCCTGCAGTTCAGCGTCTTAACCACTTGAGCCACCGCAATTCCGCACATTAAATGGTACAAAGCGCGCGCGCACACACACACACACAAAACGCTGGCTAAAGAGAAACAAAAATGTATAAAAACAATATTTAATGCTGAGTTCAATAGTCTCACTCCTGTTATATTGTAATTCCATACACATACTGAAATTTTTGGGACTATTTTTCTATATTACTGTTGTTTCCTGCAAGAACACCTTGGCTTTATATAGTTATATGACTGTTTTATTGAACTCAGCATAACATATTATTTTTAAACATTTCTTTTTTTCTTTACCCAACTGGAGGGTGGAAACCGCACAAGACAAGACATTTGTTTAACAAACCTCCCACCCAAAGGAGAAAGCGGAGAGGCAGCTTGGAGCCCCAGGCGGATCAATGCAAATTCTCTCCCCCTCAACTGAGAACAAAGGAACAAAACCGACAAAAAGTGGTAGGGAGGGAGACAGAAAGAGAAAGAAAGAGAGAGAAGTCTCGTTTTATCTCTGTGAGTTAATTTAATTTTTTTTTACATTTACAAAATAAGATTTGTTTATCCTTGTCCCCTACAGTACAATAAGAATCCTTTTTTTAAAATTTTGTTTTCCAAAGACGCTAGATGTTCATCTGTTTTATTTCAGTGTGTTTGTGAGAGAGAGAGAGAGAAGAAAAAAACAATTGGGAAATTAAAAGTGCAGGTTTTCGGAAGGAAGAGAGCTCTACTATGCAGGGCGGGGCCCGATTCTGCCAAAAAACAAAAGAGGAAACCAGCAAGATGATCCAGGATTAAACTCCCCCCCCACACACACCCCTCCATGAGAAGACTGAGCACCATGTCAAGGAAAATATAAACAAACCCAAAAAAAAAAAAAAATCCGGAAATTCAAACAAAAATTCCAGAGAGAAGCCAAAAGAAACAACAAAAAACTTAAAAAAAAATAACAAGCAGATAACAACAACATTGTAAAAAGATTCTTTAAAAAAAACAAACGGCTGGATCAAACCCCAATAAAGGACCAATAAATAGAGAAATCATTACCAAAAA